CTCCACTTGTCCACGACTTGAGAATTTTTCCATTTACTCTCACCTACACTGGTGTGGGAATGTCTTTCAGAGAGGAGAGAAAAAAGGAAACTGATGTGTAGGAAAACCAATTACCTTTTAATTAAGCTGAAATTTCAGAAACTCAACACTTTTCAAAACTGTAATGGCCAATTCACATGACAGGGAGCAACATTCTATCCCAACCCAGGACACTGAGTATTTTTACTTCTACATTTAAAAACAGAGATTTATCTTCATCTAGAGGCTCTGCTCTTCCATGACCATCTGAAATAAATGTAAACAGAAAATGCTCTAGCCTTCCTGCATTGCAAATCAAGTTCAAAAAAAAAAACCAACCCTATTTATATGATGCCCTAGAACCTCTCCAAAGACTCGATCTCCTTATCAATGAAATAAAGATACAGCACTCACCTGTAACGATTAAGTAAGCTAACACATTTAAAGTGTTAGGCACAGTATCCCACACAGAGTAAATAATCAATATACAATAATTACAGTTTCAAAGACAATGTAAGACTAGGATTCAAATCTTCACTCTCTCTCTTGCTCTAACTTGCTGGCAAGAGATTACTGAAAAACATTAAAAAAATAGTAATAAAAGATTTTTTTTCTCAGCCAATAAAACTTCAGGGGAAAAAAAAATCACAGAATAAAAATCTGCCCCATCTTCCCCGCCCCACCAGCTCCAAAATGGTCTTCTGTTGGCCTTACTCTACAGATTATCACCCTATGCTCTCACAAGCACTTTATCTACCAAATGTGTCATTTTTTTATGCAAAATCAAAAAGAATGAAACAGAAAAGCACAATGGATTCTTTGTTTAATCAGTGTCAACGACATCTATCTTATCACAAGAATAGAAACCTAAGTGACAAAAAAAATAAATTAGCAAATTTTTGATTAGAGAATATCATCTTATCAAAACCAAGGAACCTGACCATCAGTATATGGTGAAACATAATCATGTTTTAAAATTCACTAGGGGCGGGCGCCTGGGTGGCTCAGTTGGTTAAGTGACTGCCTTCAGCTCAGGTCATGATCCTGGAGTCCCGGGATCGAGTCCCGCATCGGGCTCCCTGCTCAGCGGGGAGTCTGCTTCTCCCTCTGACCCTC